TTAAGTGAAGGGAGACACAAATGCATCACGCTTTTCAGATAATCTTTCATAGGAAGATATTTATGGGGATAATCAGTAGTGCGTGCCTGCTTAATCCCGTTTTAATATTGACGGTTGTTACTCAACGCATGTCTACTATTTACCTTAACCAGGGTGTTCAGTCGCTTTCAGCCGTTACTTGATTTAAACAAACACTTTATCATCGTACACAAAATGGGTTGCGACTGTTTGCAACATCAACACAAGAAAACCCAGCAGGAGAGCTGGTCTCAAAGTACATCCTTATAGAAAACACATTTAACGTCCTCAGTCCCAAAATGAAAACTCGTACACTTCTTTTCTGCCTATTTTTTGCTACACTTTTCTATCAGTTTGAAACGATTTCTAGTCTTCCATTTTTCAGCTTTTTTTTAAGGACTCCTCGGCACCTTCCAACTAGTTCTGGTCAGCTTTCTTGCCTTCATAACTCCGCTGATGGGTTTGCGCCAGTCACGGACGATTAAATATTCCATAGCGTGATTTGAATTAAAAAAGGAGATCCAATTTACATGCTGTACTGATACGGCACTAACAGAAAAACATTCTGCCAAGAGTCAAAGTACATCCAGTTTTGCTGACACGGAAGAAAAACAAAAACCTTGAAACCAGGAAGGAAGTTCAACACACATATCCCAGCGAGTTACTAAGATTTGAGATGGAAGCAGGGTGTATTCGTGCAAATATGATGCTTGCAACTGCTAACATTTGAATGACGATACAGTACTCGAGTTTGCCAACAAATCCTAACCTCAGTTCTGGCAAACAGTTCTCTGCTGTGCAGAGAAATAGCATGTCTACGTCTGTGTTTCCTAGAAAATGCGATTTTCCAGAAAATCTAAAATTAAACTCTAAGAAGTAGCTGTCGCTGAAACGGCAACGTCCAAGGACATTAATAATGCATATGAATAAGATTTAGAAGAGTATAAAATGAAGCAAAGCTTACCAAAGCTGCAGTGTAGATCATTCACAGTCAAGAAGATAACAACAACAGAAAGAGAACCAAGAAGAAACCGAAGAAAAGGAGACAACATGTTTCAGGTAAGTCAGCAAACACTAATTCGCTCTGACGAAGGGCTAACGCTCGAAACTTTAGCTTCTAAACTCTCAACGGTGGCCAATTTACGTTATGAACTAAGTTGGTAATACTTAATTACTCAGTTATACTCTCCAACCGACGCAGCACCTCAGTTTCTGTAGAAATTTACCCCTTTAAACACAAATTGGGCATACTCAGAAGTTTGTACCTCAACTTAATAAGTTCCAACATATTTGCTCTTTTTTACCTTGATTAGTTTGTACTCTTGAAGAAGGAATACTGAATATTATCTAATGATAGAAAGTTGTTTATGGGCTATGATGAACTGAAAACCTTTAGTGGAGACACCTTTCTGCAAGTAGAGACACTAACAGTAAATTTCAAGCTTCGAACAAACTAAAAATTGAGCAGTCGTTGCAAATCCATCGGAATCAATTTCATTTTGTCTTGTTTACAAAAAAAACCCCCTAATATTTGCATTGTATTTTTGGTTTTAGCAACCAACCCTTATCAGGGATCATTTGGCCCTCATTTTGCTGTTGCTTTGTGCATCGACAACCTTAATATCAGCTACAGATTCCACCGCTAACAAGGTAAGTACTTAGAATTTATTTTACAAAGCGAGCTAACAGTTTTCTCGACAAATAACGGCCTTCTAATCATGGTTATTTCCGTACGCGATAAAGTGTGCAAAAATGTCCCATCAGTCAACACGATGTTGTGCAAGTACTACGAGAGACATAATAATTTATACTGATATTTCCATCATCAGGTTGTTGATTATGACGTCCAATTCAAAGAGTCTGGAACTCAGTACACCGA